CCTACCATTCCTCTTGCTATCTGCCATGCAAAACAAAGTACATCTTGAACAGTGAAGTCAACTGCCTTCTCACCAGCTTCACTTGTTTCTTGTTGTCGCTCCATGTTCTCCTGGGGCTGCGGCAAGGAACGGGCACTTTCAAATGAAATGCCGATAGTTCCCTCTTCATCAATCGATGATTTCACTCCCTCTCTCCCTTTATCTTCATTTCCGTTTTCATCCTCTGCCTTCTTGATGTTCAAATCGTCTCCGCTTCCACTACTAGGCCGAAAATCAGCGTTAAAATCTTCCAAACCAGTGTTTGCACTTACAAAGAGCAATGCAGTGTTTGCACTTACAGTGGGCAAAGTCACATCCACGTGACTCAATTCATTGGACTGTTGGCTCGGTGAGTTTTTCTCTCCTTCGAGGCCAGATGGAAAATCAGTTTGGGGAGTTTTGATGCCAAGTACTTCAGTGTCATTCCTTTTATTGTCTGTAAATGGCTGTTCTACCAGAGTCATTAGAACCTCCGACGTGACGCGGACGTCTTGTTTTTCGGAGACTTCCTTGAATTCCTGCACAGTCGTGAGTTTCTCTCCACTATCGTGAAAGCCTTCGTCCTCTGACTTACCAGTTGAGGCAGCTCCATTTGAACTCGCACTACTGTCTGATAAATCGTCCACAGATTCAAAAACAACACCATCAATGCCGTTTTTACATTTTACCTGAAATTAATGAAAGATGACGTTGGAACAATTCCACTTATCGAGAACAAAACAGTTAAAAAAATATGTCAAACAATTTTGAATTGTTAGACCCATCTAAATTCCAAGGCACCGAATTGTAAAAGCGTTTTGGAAACTCTGTTAACGGACAAAAACAATAAAATGTATCATCAGCATCCGCTCACAACCCAAGTAGTGTTTGTACTTGGTATCTCAAGAAGAGTTATCATTTAGATCAACTTTCCGACTTTTTTCGGACGGTAATTGTGCTTAGCGATGGATCAGTGATCTTTCCAGTGCACCCTGGTTTTGACGGTGCAAAAAATTTTTACCCGTTGCCTTTTGTTCCTCAGCCATTGCAGAAGATCTCCATGTGGAACATATTCCAGGATTAGCATGATTGGCTCTGATCTGTCCCAGTAACCAATCATGCTTAGCACATTACTGTGAGTACCAACTCGCTGCATAAACGAGATTTCTCTAACAAACTGTTCTTTCCCTTCCTCACCAGCTCTTTCTGAAAGCGGAATATGATAACACAGCAAATCTTAGTCCTCGATTTAACTAAATAAAGCTTATATTCGCTGAATGACGATGGAGTAATGCATGTTCACAAATATTTCATTACGTTGATCAGAATGATATGACAGTGACGGTAGAGTTACCGTTGTAAATTATTTCACAACAACTGGCGACTCACACACTCGTCTCAATTTTCGTACAACCTCCTACAACGATTTTGACAAGATATTTCCTTTTCGAATGACCGGCAGGGTAGTAGAATTTAAGTCACTGACGAACGGATCATTCTGTGTAATTTGGTCTGAACGGTCACGACGATCACAGGCGTCGAAAACCTCTGAAGAAAGCTGTCATACTTTTAGAGACTGGTTTCTCGTGATTAGCCGTGTGAAAGTACATTTCATCAGTGATTACGGTCGGTACTCGACGTGTTTGACAGAATAACGTTCGGTAATTTTATCATCTTCCAGTTTTCTTGCCCCAAGAAAAGGATTGAATGAAATAGATCCTATAACTGTGAAGTTCTGAGTCACTAACCTTTTCATCGTGATTTCTTCAAAAGGCTCGCATAACCGAAATAGCGAATATATCATGCAGTGATTCCTTACCATGTAAGAGTTTTACGGCGACAACTCTTCCTTCTTTAATATGATCCTCTCTTTCTTCTTTGGGCTTGAAAAACACTTCAACCTTCGGCATTTCTCTTAAGATTGCTTTGTGTACTTTACCAAAGGCGCCTCGACCCAGCTGTTCCATAATGGTTACACGTTCCGGGGGAATCTCTTTTAACAGCAGGAGAACAATGTCCGACATCGATCTAATAAAACATTGAAGAGTCTTTTCTCTTTTGTTCATCAAGATTTCACACATACTCGTATGCGAAACATTAATGGATATACAGTTTGTTAGGGGGGGAGGAGGTATTATCAAATACGTGTTAATAAACGTATGTAAACCATTTCGATCGCATTTAGCCTCTACGAATTCCTTAAATAAGATGATACGAGGGAAAGATATTCACTCACGGAGGCAGAAGTTCTCTGGAATATGATAATTAACAACATTTTACAGTTTGGGATTGGGTTAGCTAACACATTTCTAGAATAAAACGTTTTCCAACCTTCTTGTTTTGTGGCATCGAATTATTTTCCTCTTTTTTCTCCTTTGTCTGATCATGAAGCAAAGGATTCCAACAGTTAAGAGAATAAATAGCCCACATCCTACAGCAATGTTGAGGGTTCGTCCGCGAGAAATGTCAGTGATCTGAGCAGTTTTTATACGCCATTCTTTTGAGGTATTACTTTCTCCCAGTTCATTCCAAGCTGTCACTTTAAAAGTGTACTCAGAGTTACACTTGAGCGACGTGAGACTCGTTGAAGTAGAGTCCATGGTAACATTGATGTGATGCCAGTACTCATCTTCACCCAAAGATTGCACCTCTCTGTAATATACTGTATACATGGTCAGCGGACAGCCGTTGTCTTGTGTAGAACCCCACTTGAGGTTCACATCACATCCAGACATCTGAACTTCTTTGCTTTTTATAATCGGAGGAGACGGTTTATCTGAAGCAATAACGACAAATAAAGGCTTTTTGACGGAGCATTCATAAAACACAATGTGCATCCGCACCTGACCCCTACGCTGACTTTCATTCGCTGAAAGCGAGGTATTCTTGTCAGTTCGCGTAAGTGTGCCAAAATTTCTTGACCCTGAATTAAATCATAGCTGTTGGAACTTTATCTCATACGCGTCAACTTAAGTGTGGAATCAGTTGTTACATAATATATAGGAATTAAGAAAACATCATTGTCAAACGTGTATGAAATTTTCAGTAAGAGAAAAATAATCCCACGATCTACAACAAAACACGTCGGTGGTTAGTTCTCGTTTAACCAAAGCCGGAATCTCGGAGGGTTTCGTGCATCTGAGCCACTTGTCACAAAATAGAATATTTCGTGACTGGCTCTTAGAGAGGAGCAGAAGCACGTCAGTGATAGTAATGGTAAACATAAGTTAGCATGTGAACTGTGACTGTTGCTAAAATGATAAGTTTTCTAGGAGGCTACGGCGAATTCGACGCTTTGGAGTTTGAAGTTCGAACAACAAATGATTGGAATCATGGTCAAAACATTTTAGATTAACAAAACGTACTCAAAAGAAACATGTATGAACTGAATAGCAGTCACAAGTCGGCGTCCAGCTAGGAAATCAAACGAAGCCAATGAACTGTTGAAATACTGGTTGATATGAAATTTTATTGACAAACTTTTCTTT